TTGGCCATAACGTATGTAATCCCCCAGTTCAACATTATGAAGTAAACAACCATCCTTCACTGCGAAGAGATAAGTGCCAAACCAAACGAAGCAACTGTTAGCGTGATTTCAACGTTTGGCTAACGGAACGGCTTCGTTCTCTTCCTCCGCTTCCTTCCATCGCTAAAACTACAGGCAGACTGCAATTCTAAAACAGCGCAAAAAATCAACCTCGTCGTTCACAACTACTCTTTTTGTTTGCTGACTGGCTCAGGTGAAAATCTACCAGAGGGAATTAAATTTTAGTTTTCTTTTAGGTTTCTGTGTCTATTGTTGTCCTGTCTACCCCTTGATTGCTCCCAGCTGTGTCTCATTTCCCTGATTACCCTCTGTGTATTTAATCAAAGACAGTTTCACATCAAGGTGTATACTGTTATAAGGCAGCCATTACTGTTTGATGCAGAAATCCAGTGGAGGACACAATGCTAGCTGGGTAGAGCAGATGGGGATACCAATTCCAGCACAGTGGAATGAAAAATGAATATGAAGAGAATATAACGTATACAATATTGTGTCAACAACACAAACGAGTTAAGCACTTAATTATTCAGCCCTGCTGAACAGAGGGCCTTGAAAAGCCTTATATGGAGAGGCCGATTGGAATGACCTCATTTAACAGTTGACCAAAACCTACAGGAATTTTCTGTCTCGTGTAGAAAAGAAATGACCGTTCCAAGGTTGCTTAAACAGCTCCATTTCTTTTTAATTTGGGGAAGCACTACAAAATAGATAAATACAGTTCAGTTTATCATCTACATATAATGCATTTGTCTCTTCTAAAGATGGGGACATGCTGTACAGTAGCTCCATCACAAAACAGCTGACATCTCTCCATAGTCGTTCAATTCTTTGGTTGTGTACACTTTGTCCTGATTTTAAACGTCAACTCTCTGTACAATAAAAATGGAAATAAAAACATACATGACTGCGATGTGTAATATTCACCAGCTTCTGTAGCCAAGGATCAGACCACCAAGGTCCCGACTTTGGAAATCGCACATTGCACCCAACGTTTTTGGCCTCTTTGACAGGTGGTGAGCCCATCAGCGAGGACCCATATCTCCTCTTCAGGCTCCATGAGTGAAAGCCATGCGCTCGCCAACGTGCCTCTCCTCCATGCCTGGCTCTAGAGTGTGGCCCCTAGCGAGGGAACACTGTCCGTTGGTTTTAGTCATTATTAGGGGTCTTTGAGCTGCACTTTGTTTGATCCCTCACCTTGGGTGAACCTATAAAGGTCATGACACCCTTGACAAGCCCCATTGCATTTCCATCAACCATAAAATTGCGCAATGCTCAATGGAAAACTAAAAAAATAAACAAACCTCAGACCAAGGTGTTTGTCGCTGTTACGACCCGGCTCGCTGAGCTGCAACAAAAACCAGGGAGACACGGACTCCATAATGATTACGCTCTTTGTTGAGCACAAAGCAGAAAAAGAAAAACAAAGACACATAGGCAGCCGCTGTGGCCATGGCCATCACCCCGTAATAGATGGTCCACACAGGGGGATCCTGTAGCAGAAAACCAGAAACGTCAAAGTCAGAGTGGGACAAGAGCCCATCTAACAAATGGAGCCGGGTGGATCAGGCAGCTCACCAACCTTCCTCAGAAAGAGAAACCCGGCTCTTATATAGCCTGGAAGCCTGGAAGCCCAAACGGATCCTAAATGACGTTACTTCCGGCCTGCCTTGAAAAACAAACAATATAAAGAGACGAATCCCTCCATGCAAAGTGGAGAGGGCGTCACAGTCGCCATGCCAAAAACAGATCCAGTATTGAGGGTGTGCAGGAGCGAGCTATAGGCTCCGTCCACTGGAAGAAACTTCCAGCTCCAGGACTCAACTACGCCCTCCGGTGGACACATGTAGTTCCAGCAGGGAAAAGCTATTACACACACAACACCCCAGATTCCTGACATAATTTCTACAAAAAGAAAGGTTGTAGCACTAAGAATCACCTCTCCCACTATTTTATTACATTTATTAGTATTGATAAATAACTTTAAAATGATTAAAAGACATAATTTTATATTAAATGTTTTGTAGTCATACCAACCAATGAAAGCATTTTATGTTACTTATGCAAAGGCACTCGCTTCATTATACCGATAAGCGAATTGGTAGCTAGCTTTCTGTGACTGAAGTGGGAAAGGAACTGTCAACTTCTGGATTGCAAGACGATCGCAAGTCAGCTACGTTTCCCACAGGACTTCCATAAATATTTTTATGTTCAATTCGTAAAGTAACCTAAGTTTTATAAAAAGGTGAAAGGCACTTATTAATAAAATGTATGATTATTACTCCTTACTTGCTGTCTTCTCCGAATACCTTGAACTCCTTGACAATTTTCAACTTTTCATTTTGGTGGCACTGCCTGTGCCATTTTCTTATTAAAGAGACTGATGACTCATCTTAATTCCATTTTTTTACTGCCCAGCTACATAATTTTTTTTTATATAAAATTACAAAAGACCATCTAATTTTTAACTTGCATTAAAAAATGTGTTGTGTCATTTTAACTCATCATGTTAACACTTTTTTAGTCAACATAAATCATCACTTCACACGTGGCTGATGTTGAGTTTGAAACATTATGACATACGCCCTTCAGAGCTGCAAGTCCCCAACGTTGAGATCCAGCGAGAGATAAAACCAACCCACCGACAAACTCCTCAGTTTCAATCCGGCGAATGACGAGAACACATTATTTCTCGTCTGGACTGAATCTTTTCACATTGAACACTCAAGAGTATTTGAAAGACAAACACATTTATGGATGAGCTGAATGTTAGCCACGTAACTCTGACTGGATACGTAGAGATGAGTAAATACAGATACCTTTATTTCTCTGGTTTTTTTACAGTGTATGTTTTGATCATCTGCAGTAATGCTACCATTGTTTATCTCATCTGGATTCACAAAAACCTCCATGAGCCGATGTACATCTTCATTGCAGCTTTGCTGTTTAACTGTCTCCTCTACAGCACCACCGTTTACCCAAAGCTTTTGATCGACTTCTTGTCTGAGACGCCGATCGTCTCCATGCCAAGTTGTCTTCTGCAGTTTTTCATGTTTTATTCCATCGGCGGCACAGAGTTCTGGCTGATAGCGTCTATGGCTTTTGATAGATACGTGTCGATATGTAAACCTCTGCGATATCCAACCATCATGAGGAAAAGTACCGTTAAAGTACTCCTCATTCTGGCTTGGTTTGTTCCCGCCTGTCACATCGCGCCAGAAGCAATCCTGAGTGCTAAAACTCAGATTTGTAGCTCAGATTTGAGTGGAATATTTTGTAATAATGCCATGTTCACACTTCACTGTACAAAACCAAGATCGCTTACTGTTTTAGGAGTTGTTGCTTTATTAAATCTGGTCGTACTCCCCATGCTTTTTACAGTTTTTACGTACACAAAGATTTTTTTAATGTCTTATCAAAGTGGAAAGTCATTTAGGAGGAAGGCTGCAGAGACCTGCGTGCCTCATCTGATCGTCTTAATCAGCTTCTCCTACTTGGCTGCATATGATGTGGCCATAGCGCGAATGGAGACCAATTTCCCCAAAACCGCACGCCTAATAATGACAATGCAAATATTTCTGTATCACCCTTTATTTAATCCGTTTATCTATGGGTTAAAAATGAAAGAAATCTCTAAACATTTAAAACTGTTGTGTTTAACAAGAGCATAACTGCAAATGTAATCGTGACACAGTTTGATTTGCTGGTTTAAAATTAATAAAGTTGTCTAATCGAATTTTATAAGAATTCACAGGAAAAAATAATTTATTTTTGAAATTCTGTACTGTCTCTGGTGTTATATTTTATGTTGGAATTAGAGCAATTGCTTATTAGAGAACAAGGTGATATAACACTCTATATAAGTATTTATCAGTTTAGTCTTTTAAGTTGAGTAATTATCAGAATGGAAATAAAAGTGAGTAGAAAATAGTTTTTTGCTTTTTAATAATTATGAAGAATTTAATTGTATATAGGTTTGTAGGTTTATAACTGGTATATTTGTTTGAATGTTGGTTCATGTATTGTACAGTTTGTACAGAATGAGATGAACAGAGAGCGTCAACAAACAATGTGCAGAATTAATTGGTGAGAGTCTATGATGTTGTCACGGCAACCTAACAGAATCAGTGTTTTCCGGTTTGTTTGTTTTTCAAGTCAATATACTAAAACCTGACAGAAAATACATGTTCTGTAAAAGTAAAATTAATATTTGAGTTTGTGTAAAGTTTTTTATTATTATTATTTCTCTTGTATTTTATTTTATTTTTTGCCTCATAAAAAAATCCACTTATCTGTTTTTACAAATTGTGATACAGGCGTGCAATAACTCAAAGCTTGAATACAATGTAAGTGAATATTCACAGTTGGATCAATACAGTTGTCAAGGTGTGTAACCATAGCAACAAGGTGATTTTATCACAGCTGATTAACATGTGAACGGCTCCATAAAGCTACAGAACAGAACCGGGAGGGAACAGAACCATTCCTCCATGATGAGAAAAACTCTGGTGAGTCGGCCCGTCTAGCTCACCTGGATCTCCTCCTCTGTTCTGACTCAGAACCCTTTAACAAAACCGGGTCGGACAGAACAGAACCGGGTCAGATTGGGTCATCGGTTCATGCTGCAGCTGCAGAGTTCAGCCAGGAGGGGGCAGCGATGCCTTTAGGACCCGGTTCTGTCTGAACTCTGGTTCTTCTTCAGAGGATCCAAACTGGACCTCAGAACCAGAGAAGTCCGCTGGGTCTTCCTCAGCCATCAGAACCAGTTTGATCCAGTCTGGGTCGCTCACAGCGCTACTGTCAGGGTTATAGTGTTACTGCAGGTTTACTGGTTGAACTGGATCAGAACCGGGCCTGCTGGTTCTGATCCAGTTAATAACGACATTAGAGATTCTGATGGTTTATTGATTTTATTTCAGGTCCAAACATCACAGATTAAAATCTGATTATTGATGAAGATGATTAGAGGAAGATGAAGATGAAGGAGAACCAGAACCGACCTACAGAACCGGGCCAGATGGAGAACGGGAACCTTCATCCGGGCTCAGCTGATCGGAACCAGAATAGGACCTGGAAGAGAAACAATGGACCGGGTCAGAACCTGATACTGGTACTGAATTTAGAACTGGGTCAGACTGGATCTAAACTGGATTTAAACCAGTTCTGTACTGGTTCTGTTTAGGTTCTGGTCTAGTGTAATCTCAGGCCTGGTCCAAAGCCCAACGCCTGTTAAGAGTGGCTCAGTCAAAGTCACATCAGGGTTCAGGGTTGGGACACAACGGGGTCGTAAGGTCACATCAAAAATGGAGGACTGGTCCCTGCTTAGGCCTCCTGCTGCTAAAACTACAACAAAACAGACTATTTTAAATGTTCAATAAAGGTTTTTCTGCTTCCTAAGTCATTGTTGGAGGAATGTGTTTGATTTATTAAATACAGAAAATTCAATATAATCATGTTTAACAGTGAAACTAAAAATATTTCTATATTTTTGAAAACTGATTTTATTCTGCATTTCTTCCAAGTTCACATTTCCAAGATGGCAATGTGGAAATGTTGCCATTTTGGCAACATTTCCAATGTTGGAAAAAAAAAAACACATTAAAATGTTTTAATAATCAATTTATCAGTCTATTGGAATAATGGAGACATGATTTTTACCCATAAATCTGTTTTATGCAGCTAAACGTTAGTTTGGTATAAAGTGGAGCTAATAACAAAGCTCAAGTTCAGGACAAACGTACGGCACTAATGGAACTAAAATGTCATTTTTAGGAGAAACTATGAACCAAAATGTGACAATAAATTCATCAGTTTTCTCCTCCTGTAGTCTGAGAAGAAAACATTTGTTTAAAAATCATAAAAACCAAATGTTTTTCTATTCCACTCCCACAAAAAACTTAAGATATTAATTTTATAATTATGTATAAAGAAACCTCGGTAATGACTTTCTGCAAAAGAAATTCAAAATAAATATAATTTCCTGCGTTTTGTGACTGAGATTTTGAGACAATGAACATTTTTTTCAGTTGCAGCTTCATTAAAGTTTTTAGAAAGATTTTCAAAACTGGATATTTTACAATAAATCTATTCTATATTTAAGTTTTAATATAATATAATTTGTTCTACTAACAATGATGAAGAGTTAAATTATGATACATTTAATCCTCTGGCCTCCATTTTTATAGTGAAATAATTTTATTTTAGAGAGTGCTTAAATGAAATCACAAAAGCCCAATCTTTATTCCAGTATGTTAATATCTTCATTTAATGTTTTAAATTTGTCTTTCATTGGTGACAGTTTGTTTTTCTTTCCTCAGTCAGTTTGTGATTATTATTTTTATTTCGTCTTTTTTTCTGCTCAGTTTATCAAATTAAACTTACTACTAATGTGCCTTGTCATAATATTTTATTTTAATTTTCTATAAAGAATAACAAAACATTTCCATAAATTCGTCACATGCAGCAATGAATTGTGGGTAATACACTTTGCCAAACTCTGCCTGGGTGTGGACTCAGAGTAAGGATGAGGAGGACGTGGGACACACTGTGACCTTTAATGTCCAACACGAACGAGGGAGAGAGAGGATTTGGACCGGGCCTAAATGTGTTCTGGTTCTATAATGGGTGTGTCTAAACTTGCTTTAAACTGGTTCGGTTCTGGTTCTGACCTTTGAGCTTCCTGTTGTTGTAGAGGAATCCAGCCAGCAACAGGACCAGACCCATCATCAGTCCTGAGGCTCCGATGACCAACTTGTTCTTCACTGACTCTGGCATGGACGGGTCTGGAAGGACAGAGGGACAGAGACATGAGGACAGGTGAGACATGAGGACAGGTGAGACATGAGGACAGGTGAGACAGGTGTTCCGTCCTCCTTCTTACCCCAGTCGATGATCAGAGGCTCCTTCAGGCTGGCATGTTCCACCCTGCAGGAGATCCGCTCTCCAGCCCTGAAGAGAAGGAGCAGAACTGGGTCACTACCAAAAGAACCGGGTCAGAACCGGCAGGAAACTGGGTCAGGCCCTAGTGGTTCTACTGGTTCTGGTTGTGACCCACCTGGGCATGTACTTCAGCGTGGAGTGGACCGGGTAGTACCAGTGGTTCTGGTTCTAGAGGTTCTGGTTATAATGGTCCCAGTATTCCCAGTGGTTCTGGTTCTGACCCACCTGGGTGTGTACTCCAGCGTGGAGAGGACCTGATAGTACCAGTCTCCGTCCTCCATCTCGTCAGTGGTGGTGACGTCTGATGTCACTTCCTGTCCGTCTCTCAGCCACCCGACCTTGATGGTTTTAGGGAAGAAATCAAAAACTCTGCAGACCAGCATGGAGGGGTGGTGGCCAGCAGGGGGCGTCCTGGAGTAAAGCTTGGCTGTCGGAGCGACTGGGAGATTAATAAGATTATTGGTTCATTATTAAGGTCAGATTAGAAATCCATACATGATCCATGGATGTAACAGGAAGTATTTATATTATTATATCAATATTATCAGTTTATCTGCTGATTATTGATGATAAAACCAGTTTAACCAGAACTGCAGCTGCTGGGAGAACTGGAGGGAAGTGAAACTAGTTTATTAAATTCACTGTGATGATTCAGGTTATTCATCCAAACAGACCTGAGTTTTATATTGTTATAATTAGTAAATAACTATAATTATAAACAGACCAGAGTTCAAATAAAGTTATTGTTGCAGATAAATCACAGATCATTAATAATAATAGAACTGGGTGTTATAGAATGAGTCCATCTAGAACTAGATGTAACTTCAATATTTAAGCCCTACAGTGAGTTTATATTTATGAAAAATTAACAGAATTTTTTTTTCTTGGCTGTTTCCAGATTTAGTTGATTCTTTATAAGTTTCCGATTACTAAATGTTTCTGACGCTATTAATATTTCTATACATTCAATATTGATTAACTCCAGTAGTTATTACCAATCACTAATATTAGCAGTGATTGGATCTCTATAGATCAGCTGATCAGATCCATGATGAGATAAATATTGATCATTTGATGGCGTCAGAGTTCAACGTTTTAGTTAACTATAAATAAGTGATGCTCATCAGTCAGAACTGATCAGAGGATCAATCAGGAAATGATCAAATCAAACTCACCTGATTTAGTCAGAACTTTCTGGTAGTAGAGACCAACGTTGTTCAGGCAGTAGGTCTCCCTCTGGGCTTTCATCGCTGCTAGATATGAAGGATCATTGTTCCATCGTTCAGCCTCCTTCACTCCAAACTCTGTGTATCCAACAAACCTCCCCAGGCTGCTGTCAAACCTGAGCCACTCCAGCTTGTTGTAGATGGAGGACCTGATGAACTGGATGTCGCTCAGCTCAGTGGAGTTAAACACACAATGATCCACTTCACATTCTCTGAATCCATCTGGAACCGGAACAGAACCTCGGCGTTGGTTTCCCATCGGTTATGTGTTCATGTGTTCATTTGATCAACTTCACATTGAGTACCAATCAATACATTTGAATGGACTGAAGTAATGATTAAGCATATTCATGATCAATAATCAAAATATTGATCATTTTATCAGTAATGAATCTGGATCACTGATTGTCCAGCAGATTAGGTTATTGATCCGTATTGCTCTACAGACTGATGCAGTTTAAACTCTGAGTATTGATCCATATAATAACTTATTGATCAGTGATTATCAGTTACTACCAGAGTATTGATCATATTATTAGTGATTATCAGTTATTGATCATACCTGCAGAGTTTACGATGATGAAGATCAGCAGCCAGCAGAGCGGTGATGGAGCCATGTCTCTCTCTCTGTCTCTCTCTTTCCCAGTCAGAGGAACTAACTGGTTCTGATGGGAACTGCTGTAAAAATCAGAACAGAGTCACATGACCTCTGCATCGCTGGTTGCCGGGTAGAAAAGACTGAGGCTGAAGATCAGAAAGAGAAACGGATTGTGTTCCCGCAGTAGCTTCAGTTTCTCCCAGAGTCTCCGAGAGTCTGACCGGTGATGAAGATGAAGCTGCTCCTCTTCCTCAGCGGGGTCCTCTGGGTCTCTGCTGAAGGTGAGTTACACTGGTTCTGACCGGGTCCAAACTGGTCCTGATGGACCCACTGGGTTCTGGAGGCTCTGCTCCAGGTTCTTCATCAGTTTCTCTCTCTGTGTTTAAGTTCTACATGAGGACCTTCATATCACTGGATGTTCAGACTCCGATGGAGAGGACATGTACGCTCTGGACAGAGAACAGCTGTGGTACGCCGACTTCAAGAAGAAAGAAGGAGTCGACCCTCAGCCTCCTTTTATTGATCATATCAGATACTCAGAAGGAACTTATGAACTAGCTGTGGCTGATCAACAGATCTGCAGATCAAACCTGAAGGTGATTCGTACTGCCATGAAGGACATCCCAGATGAAAACGGTAAAGAACAGTAATTATTTGAACTGATTTATTTTCACCTCTGATCAGCTGATCATTTTTATAATAAAATGTTTATTATTAATAAATCACAATATTTTAATAAATTAAATCCAGTCCAGTGAGCAAACATCATGTTGTCTAAAATCTGAGATATGATGTTAATTAAAACTGTTCCAGTTTATTAGTTTATATTAATCTAATATTATAACTCTGTTAAATGTTGAGGTAAGGTAATTTTATTTATATAACACATTTTCAGCAGGCAATTCAAAGTGCTTATTATTATTAGTGCTAATTTATTAACCATTAATGACATGCAGAGCTTTATTAATATATGAAAGCAGATATTCCACTCTGTGTTGTTTCTATGTCTCAGTGCTTTCAAGCATTTTATTTCATGTGGATCAATTAATATTATTAATATTTTGCTCTTCATCTGATCCATCTGATTCATAAAATAGTTAAAATAAATAAAACTCTTCATTTTATTAACTTTATTCCATCTGACCATCAATAAGTTTGTAAAGTTAAAGAATTTATTTACAAAACTTTAAAATATGAACCAGAAACCAAAAGAAACTGAGAATAAATAACTAAAATATTCCCACTGGATAATGAGAAATAAAACAGGAATTTATAGTTTTCATCTTTATTTAATTAATAAACAATAACTGTCCTCTGCTCCCAGTAAAGACGATGATGGTTACTGGGAACATCCCATAATAGAATAAAACAAAGCAGGTGGTGCTGAAGGTCTGGGTCCGGTTCTGATCCAGTTCCTCTGAAACTATTCCATCAGTCTATTTCTAATCTCTAAGAGACCTGCTGCCCGTTAGCCCCGCCCCCCGACCAATCAGAAGGCAGCAGCTGTGTTATCAGCCAATAGTGAGTGAGCTCAGGTCAAATAGCAGGAACAGATTCAATCCACATTAAAATGACACAATGAGAAACCAGAGGAGCTGCTGGGAGGTGAGATGAAACTGGAGATGAATATCTGATTAATGATAAACTATTTATTAACCCTGACACCTGGAAACAGGCTGAGCAGCCAGATATGAAAGGACTGGGTTAAACTGCCAACACCTCAAAATGTCTGACTTTTTTAATCGTAACAATGTCCTGGAGTTCATGGTTTCAATCTGTGCCACTGAAACCACCTTGAAATATTAATTATTTTGAGTAAAGAACAACAAAACTTTACTTCTTTAAATGTGGAAACCAGGGTTCAGCTATAAACTATGAACAGTTGTTTTCTCTGGTTTCCTCCTCCTGTTTTAGCCAAAGTCCAAAGTGAATCTTTCATCATGACGTCAGACAGGATATAAACACGATGTTGAACTTAACTGTTTCAAGTTAAAGTAAAAGGTTCAGTTAATAATATGTAACTTTTAAGTTAATTCAACACATGAAAGTAAGCTGTCATCACTAAACCAAATGAATTAAGTGAGATTAATGTAAATAAATCCATAAGATGAACTTCAGTGAGCCAGAACATTCTGTAAATCCAGTAATTATTAAACTGTCCTCTCTCAAATCTACTCTAGAAAATCCACACAGATGAATACTAGACAATCTGATGTGTCCAGAGTCAGTTCATTCCTGAACCAGAGATCTAACCGGATGTCTGAAAATGAACTGACTGATGCTCAGAGACTGACTTTTCTAGAACCTGTCCTAAAGCCCTACATGTTCTAAACTCAGAGTTTTATTCAGTTTAGAATAATACAATATGGACCGACCTTTGGCTGAGTTCTGTTGCCACATGGACCTGAACCACCAAGTTTACTTTGGCTCTGTAGTTTTCTCAGGTCATCACTTCTTGTTCTGCTTCTTTCTGATCCTCTGTGCTGTGAACATTGTAGACCCTGATTGACCCACCATCAGACGTTCTGCTCTGGACCATCCTGGATCAGGTCCTGTTCCTGCAGTTAACCTCCTGGTTTCTTCTCAGACCCCCCCTACGGCATGGTGATTTACCCCAGAGACGACGTGGAGCTGGGAGAGAAGAACATCCTGATCTGTCACGTCTCTGGTTTCTATCCGGCTCCGGTCAACGTGTCCTGGACCAAAAACGAACAGAAAGTGACTGAAGGAACCAGCATCAACGCTCCCTTCCTCAACAAGGACTTCACCTTCACCCAGATCTCCAGGCTGCAGTTCGTCCCTCAGATGGGAGACATCTACAGCTGCTCCGTGGAGCATCCAGCTCTGACTGTACCACTGACCAGGACCTGGGGTGAGGAGACTTTAACTAGACAGGAAGCATCAACAGGAACATTTATTTTAGTTATTAACCGATTAATCCTTATTAAATCAAACGTCCTGATGTTTCTCGTTTCTCTCTGTCTCCAGATGTGGAAACGGACAATCCTCAGTACGGTCTCGGTCCGTCTATCTTCTGTGTAGTCAGTCTGACCATCGGCCTGGTAGGAGCCGCTGTGGGAATTTACTTCCTGATCAAAAGGAACAAGCGCAGCTGATTGGCTGAAGCTGATTGATTGATTGTTTATCAGTGAGTTATGTTCAGTTTTAAACCATTTCTTGTGAGTCTCTGTGTTGTCCTGTCTTTTCCCCTTGATTGTTCCCAGGCGTTTCTCGTTCTGTGATTATCCTATGGAGTGATTGAAAATAGTCTCGAAAGATTTGTGCGTGTGTAAAAACGGATTTGTAACTCGTGTAAGCGTCTTTGTGTGTAAGTTTGGATACTTGTATCTGTGATACATGATTTGTGTTGAGAGTAAAAATAATTAAAAACCTCTTCTCTACTCGTCACCGTTCTCTCAATACCCAGATCTATAATGGTGTCGTTTTGTATCAGTGGAACCAGAAATGTAACAAAACAGATCGTTTTCCAAATACAATCATGGTTTATTGAACAATCAGACATATAAGATTCACATAACACCTCTTAGTGGTCACAAACCCCGACGAGACAAAAGATAATTACCTGACAAAATGACAATACAGAGAGGCAAAGAAAATTTCTTTTGTTTTTACAAATTGTGATACAGGTGTGCAATACCTCAATAACTCAAAGGTTGAATACAATATAAATGAATATTCAGTTGTTTATTTTACTGTAGAAAAATTTTTATTTTTCTAGTGAACTTTCAAGCTTTTCATAATATGTCTAAATGAAATTGAAATAACACGTTTCTGGCATTTATTTTAGACCAAGTGGATAAAAGAAACAGATTCACTCACTGAAATGAAATCTTAAAAACAAAAAAAATTAGAAATCACATTCAGCACATTTTTTTGCAATTGGCAAATTAACGAATGCTTGATTTCTAAGATGAACACGGTCAATTTTTCTAAACAATTAAGAAAAAATATGCGACCAGAATGTGGCACCACTGACAACACTGTAGTAGGTATGCCGGGCCAGCCAGTGGCACTGTAACAGAAAGATGTAAAAAAAAAACTCCAAACAGCACCATGTTTGTTTGTTAGAGCAAGGAGCACAGATTTGAGGTTCTGTCCTGATCTGGTTCATTTAGCAACTGTTCTATATTGTTTGTACTTAAACAAGAGTAAAAAAAAAATCTAATTTAATCCTCAGTATACCAGAGAATAAGCATAAGATAATGCACTACTGCATTAGCACTGCTGCATTAGCACTACTGCATTAGCAGTAATGCAGTAGTTACAGCTACTAAGATGTGAAACTGTGGAATAAATAAACTGTTTTCGGATCACTTGAAAGAGCATTACAAACAGAACTTGAAGGGATAAAGAGAGGAATAGGCACACAACAGATTGGTAGACAAGACGAACAGTGAGTAAGAGATGAACTGGTTGAGTGAGGGTCAGGGTTTGCCCTCAGTTCACCCTTGTGTTTACAAACGAGGTCCAACTGACCCCACACCCGTATCACTTGTATCATTTGCCTCAGTCCTCGCACGCACAAGGGTTCAGTGGGTCCACTCAACACACTTCAGGATCATTAGAAAACATTTTGAAAGCTACAAGCTTTCAGTCTCAGTGATACCAGAAACCCCAACGTAAAACATAACATAAAAGACCCATCAGTTTCACCTGGAAACCACCGTGAAGGAGGAGCTGTCACGAACTGATGTAACAACTTTAGAAAATGTGCTTTTTTATTGTTATGTTTGAAAATTCACCAAATCCTGATTAACACTGAAGAATCTTATATACATATACTATATGTTTTCAATATTTTATTTATTTTGGTAAATACTAGTATCTGTACTGTCACTTTAAGAGAGCATCTTATGACGTCAGTACTGTCCTACCCTCAGTTGGCGCCAGGCTGCCTGAGAAGAGGTAGGACATTTTCTTTGCTTTTGGTCAAGCTCGCATTTTATGAAATATTTAAAACAATTGTAAGTACATGCAGCTGTGAATTTCTATTTGTTTTAATACCTACAGAGGAGTATTTTTCTTTACAAGTTAAGAACATTTTTCTTAAATGTTGAGCAGATATTATTAGTTAGTCACTTATGCTATTTATAATAACTGCAGAGATTTTCTGTTGTTAATCGAATCGGCCATGTTGGTAATATATTTTTGCTGAAGTCTGAATTCCTGTGAATAGACAGCACGACGCTAAGTAGTTTTAGCGTCGTTAACGTTAACGTCATTTCCCGAAAACGTCCATACATTAATCAAAATCTCAGGCTTCGGTTATTCCATGCAAATGTGTGGATGACCAAAACTGACATAATTAAAAATAAAAGCAGAAATATTATATTGTTTTTCCTTTTACTTACATATGCGTTTTCATCAAGAAATGTATTTTTCTTTTGCCTTTTTCTTATACAAGCTGTCGTTCTGTCACCATTGCCTCGTCTCCTCTTTTTACTTACCCATCTGAATTTCTGACTCATGCAAACGAGGTGGAGTGTGTTCCTGGTCCAACAGGGTCCATGTGCATGCCTGTGCTTTTGGCCTTGGTTTAGCAACAGAAGTATAGTTTTGGAGGGAGCACAAAGACAGTTTGTGTCCGAGTTGTTAAGGGAAGCTGCGAATAGACTGGATGAGTTGGAAGGTGCTAAGTTTTCAGTTAGACTTATGTAATTTTGTCGAAGACGTTATGTATATTGTAATCTTATTAGCATCCGCCGTTCAACTCCACAAGCACAAGGCCCCACGAGAAAAGACCAAGGAGCAACACAAGTAAGTATTTTTTTCCCCTTCCTGTAGCTCTACTGGAATATTATTTCTTTGTTAAGCCACTTATTTTAAATTTAAAACAAACAGAAATGACATTTGTTCTCATTTTATTTAGTGGAAGACAAAGACTCCATTGATAACAGAGCTTAGCAGATAAGTGTTACTTTTTTGAATTTGTGTTGTGCATTATCTTTCACAGCTCTGATGAACTCACAAACTGTCTCTACCAAAACTTTCCAAAGTTGAGGACTGCTGGCGGCTATGAGTTGCTCAAATGTTCTGGTAACACAGAAGATTTCTGGACTACGTTGAGCCTCGCTGCATCGTCCTCAGCCTTAGATATATTTCCAACGTAGTCTTACCAGAGGTGCAAGCCCTCATTTCCAACACCATTGAGAAGCTAATAGCCATTCGGCTAAATTTATTACAGTCTTCGTGGACTTTATGAGTTCAGGCAGATCTGTACTAAGTAGATCACAAATAAAAATCATTGTAGTTCATTAAAATGTTACATTTTGGGTATAGAGATTAAAATATTTGAAGTATAGTGGGTGTATAATTGTTAAATAAGTGAACCAATACCATGAACAATCAACTGATTGAGTTGATCAACCAACTCAATCAACAAGTTAGGTTTTATTTTGTATATAGTCTACTATATTTTAACTGTTGAATACTTGTGGACTGATTAGCATATTTGTGAATCAAAATGTTTGTTTTGTCTAGCTAGTTGATATAGACAATGTGAGAGCCATAGTGATGTCACTGTTTTGTGAAAAACACTAACTAGTTGGCCAGGCCTAGAGAGACAACATCCTTGGAGGGGAAAGCTGTCTAATAAAAAACTTTCCACAGACGCACACTAGCGTCATAACGCACCAGATTCAGGTAACGAAGGCGACGCGTGCTGTGAACTGGATATTGATGAAACTGTCACAGTTGTTTGTGTCTTTACTGACTGAAACTTCGAAGAATGTTTTAGCACAACCATGGATGGTAAAGTAAACGTTACCTACATAACTCTGTCCGGATACGTAGATCTGAACAAATACAGATATTTTTACTTTTCTGTTATTTTTACGGTGTACGTTTTGATCATTTGCAGCAATGCTACTATTTTGTATCTCATCTGGATTCATAAAAACCTCCATGAGCCGATGTACATCTTTATCGCAGGTTTGTTGTTTAACTGTGTTATTTACAGCACCAACATTTACCCAAAGCTTCTGGTCGACTTTTTGTCTGAAGAACCGATCGTATCGTATTCGGCCTGCCTTTTACAGTTTTTCATCTTTTATTCTGTGGCTGGCTCAGAGTTCCTCCTGCTAGCAGCCATGGCCTTCGACAGATATGTGGCGATTTGTAAACCTCTGAGGTATAGAAATATAATGAAAAGAAGTACTGTCAGTGCTTTCCTGATCATAGCTTGGTGTTTTCCTGCTTGCCATCTCGCTGTGCTGGCCATACTGAGTGCCAAAGCGAAACTGTGCAACTTTAACTTGGACGGGATCATTTGCAACAACAAGATGTACACAATTCACTGTGTGAGATCAAGAGCGCTGACCATATTTGGTGTCGTTGCTTTATTCGATTTCGCAATTCTTCCCACCCTTTTCACAGTTTTTACATACGCAAAGATATTCATGACGTCGTATCGGAGCTGTAAAGAATCCAGGAAAACGGCTGTGCAGACCTGCGTGCCCCACCTGCTGGTTCTGACCAGCTACTTCTGTGTGATGACATACGATGTAATTGTAGCTCGAGTGGAGTCGGATTTCTCCAAAACCGCAGGCTTTATAATGACGATACAAACGTTTCTGTATCACCCTCTGATAAATCCATTCATGTACGGGTTCAAGATGAAGGAGATCAATAAACATCTGAAGACGTTGCTCTGTTCAGCCAAAGCATGAAGCAGTTCTTTCTGAAATTATTATGAAATATCTCATACTACATCTATTGTATCAGTAAGCTGACCATATTTTAAAATAATCCAAGCATTCAAATTCCCATAGCAGGTTCATGTCTGCAGGTTTTCAAACTTTTTAATAAATAAACACTTCTGGCATCATTTTTTACTGCATCCTTTAATGACCCTATGTGCAAAATGGCTGAGATTGTGTTTAGTTAATTTTTTGCAATGTGAAAGGAATAATTATATTTGAGCCAATCTGTATATGGGTCAGTTAAATGTAATGATGTATGAAGGGCATGAATAGGCTTCAGGAGAAAGGAACATTTTGACACAGATGTCTTTCCACAATTTGCCTTGTTTGGAGCCAGAAAGACTGAGATATTTTTCCACTGTATGAAAAAATCTATTTCACAACTTGCACAAGAGGTTACATGTCAATATTGAATTTATTGACTTCATCAAAATATCTTGCATTGTCTGCCTTGTTCGAGATTTTCTAAATCCTGTCGTATGAGTCTGTGTTCTTACTTTTGTTTGAATAAATTTCATCACCGTTTTCTATTCATCTTGTCTTTAAAAAATAGCTTGAGATTAGTGGATAAAACCAGGCCACTCTAAATATTTGTGCTGGGTTTTTTAGCCTTTCTGGGGTTTTGGAGAGTCACTGATATGTTTCACATCATTGTTATACTCCATACTGTCATGATGTTGGACCCAAATGCAGAGAGGTGGAGGAAGTAGCTGAGTTTGGTGATTTAATAATAAAAGAAAGATAAAAATAAGACCAAAACAAATCCAGAAGCATCCAGGCGGGAAACACAGAAAATCACAAAACATTGACGGGAGAAGAGACTGAGGAGGGAGCTGTGAGAAGACCTGGGCTGATGAGTTAACTGATTACAGGTGTGGGTAGTTAGAGCAGGAGCCAGGCTGAGGACAAAGAGAGGAAGTGGCACAAGGGAACAGGAAATAAAACAAACACCAAAGAATAACTTTGACAAAAGAAGCATGAATATCTGGAACAGAGAATATCTAGAAATAAGAAAAATCATAACTAGAATCACTAAGGAAGAACAAAAGTGCAAAAACAGGACAACTTCAGGAAAAATAATATATTTTTGCCTTGTTACCCTAGACATAGTTTTTTTTGTTATTGAATCTAAATGTATCTTTACTCATTAAAAGTCAGACAATAAAATGACAAGTTTGTTTTCCCCAAGTATGTGATACACTGCTCCACTATCAATGTGTCTTAAGTGATCCTTTAGCACAGGATCAAATGTCCACGTCTTTTACAAAGCTCCCATTGTTGGCCTGATGTAATGTGCTACCAGGTTTCTTCCTGCCAGTGACTGGATGATGCTAATTAAGCCTGGAGCTTAATCAGTAATTAGAGACGCTGGAGCACGTCTGTCTCTCCAGCGATTCTTTTCTGCCTCCACAAGGCCCATTTCAGTCTCATCAACAGTTTTACCTTTTGAAAGATGGAAAGAAAATTCCTTCCATTTTACCACATCGTTACAATAATCTCCACTGTTGTCTTGGTGGTGCCCCAATGTTACCCCAATTGCGCTGTGCTTCGGTTGATAGTTTTGAGGACTTTTGGAAGAATAATGGGCCTCAGAAGCAGTAGTCTGCATCTTTAACTCTTGAATAAGTCCGCCTGACTTTTTCCCCATTGTCCAGCTGTTTGTAGACATAATGACAATGAAAGCTTCGACCATCATGCCTTTTGGGGACGGAAAAGCTGTCCTTAGCAGGAAGTGGTCCTGTCCTCACCGGTTCAGTCCTGTCTAGATCTGAGAGGACAGATGGCCTCTCAGCTGGGTGGAGCTGATGATCCGTGGTGTGAATGGGACTTTGATGTGGAAGCTTCTGAGGAAGAGACAAAAGAATGACAATGATTTACAATAAGGCATTCTGTTAGGCATTGCAAAGCCTGTTGTCCTGTAAATCTAATATTATGTGGCTGCACGTTTCTCTAGAAAAAATGCACTTATTTTAAAACAGTTGAATTATCACACTTAGCATTATGTAATTATGTGCAGGACCAGGATGCTGGTTAATTTAATACAAAATATTAAAATTACTAACACATGTTCTTCTGGTGGCAGGTCCTGCTTTTTGTCTTCTGTAAGATGTTCAATGTCATCTTCATCACCAATAACAATAGGCTCAAACAGATTGGTGTAGTCTCTGTGGAGCAAACAGGTGTACACAATATAGATGGGGAAAAAAGCATAAGGATGTACTACCAGCTTTCCTTAACGAAACATTCAATTTATGTCAGAAGTTACAACATTCAAAGTAAATCAATGTACAATAGATGTATCAGTGTCACTTTGTCATGATGACACTACACACACTCTTCTTCTGCATGACAGAAGCCCCTACACACCTGTACCAGGAGCTCTGGGCAGTGAGACATTGACTGGTGTCTTGATTATTGGGGTCATCCAATCCATAACCTGAAAACCGAGAAAAGACGAGTAAAACTTAATGATTGACCAATCTATAGTTATATTAATATTTAAATATTTTACTTAAAGGTTTGATATTACACATAGGGCCCCCATGTTGACTCAAGCCCAGGGGCCCACATCCTCCTAAATCCGGCCCTGCCTACTCTCTCACTAAGCTAGCTTGAAACCTCAGGGGCTCAACACTGTTTATTTTACCCTCCCACTTTGTTTCTGTCCAGAGTAGCGTTCACATTTTCAGTCTGGCCCTTCTCTGTGTGGAGGCAGAAAACAATGTGTAAAGCTTTTGCAAAGCCCCAAAGTAGCTTGTGGTATCAATGGATCCTTTTGAGCATCTGCCAGAACCAATTTCAGTGAATGAGCTCCACAAGGAAAAACACAAAAGAGCTCTGGGGTTGACCTGAAGAAGTCGAGCCTGAACTCCTTTTTGTCCCTCTCATGTTGGCCTCATTGCCAAATGACTGACCTCTGCAGTCCTCTTCTGGTTTCTTCAGAAGTAAGGAGGCCAAATGCTTCCCTGTGGATTCTTCTTCTGCCTCCCAAAACCCCATGAAATGCTCCTTAACTGGGGACTTCTCCAGTAGTGAACCAGTTCGAATCACAACGGATAACTTACCGGTGTGGCTGATATCTGTAGTGAAATCTAGAACTGTAGAAAAAAATGTTGCTTGTTTAATGAAGCACTACAACATGTAGATTTCTGGTTTGCACACGTCTGCAAACCAGAAGTGTGCGAATTGTCTCTGTCAGAATTGAAGGCCAGTCATCAGGGTCAGCAGACAGGCGCTCTTCCTCAGCAGCAGGAGTTGGTGGAAAATAAAATGTGCTCCCCTCTCCACGCACACACACTTGAAGATTCCCTGCTTGGAGGATGTAGATGTAAATTGGTTTTCGTCCTCAGGAGTAGACAACATACGTAGAAACACATTTTTGGGTGAAGTCAAGGGTAGTTTCTGTCCCTGCCTGAGGGCAGCTGAAGATTCCTGGTCAGCTGAGGAAGAGGATGGCTGCTCATCCTGGCCTGCGGCAGCTGCCCATGTCGCCCATATCAGAAACCACCATCCTGGCAAGGTCTATTCAGGGGTCTTGGAGAGGAGGGTCCATCGGATATTTGAATGTCAGATTCAGGAAGAGTAGTGTGGTTTTCATCCTGGCCGTGGACCAGGACAAGCTCTACATTCTCAACAGGATCCTGGAGGGTTCGTGGAAGTCCACCCAACCAATCTACATGTCCTTTGTTAACTTGGAGGAGGCGTTCGATCATGTCCCACTGGGAATCCTGTGGGGGGTTCTCCAGGAGTATGGGGTACCGGGCCCTTTGATACTGGCTGCTAGGTCCCTGTATGACCAGAGTCTGGTCCGCATTGCCGGCAGTAAGTCAGGATTGTTTCCGGTGAGAACTGGACTCAGCCAAGGCTGCCCTTTGTCACCAATTCTGCTCACAACATTTATGAATAGAATTTCTACAGCCAAGTTGTTGAGGGGATTCATTTTGGATCCACTTCAACTGGAGGAGCCAGTTGGGCATCTGGTTATGATGGCAGCCACCAGACGGAGACCCAGAGGAAGACCTGGAAGCTGGAACAAGAGGCTGGGGAGAGAAAAGTCTGGGTGTCTCTGCTTAGGCAATGGATGGACGGATTGATGGATGGACGGATGGATGGATGGCCTTCTTTAAAATTGTTTTATTCTTTCTGATTTTTAGAAAGACGCTTGACCTGTTTAGTGTGTAGTGAGAGGAATCCCTATTTACAGGTAATTATTTATACTTGTAGCATAATTGATACATCAGATAATTAATTGTATTTGTAGAATACTGTGGTTTGTTTATTGCTACCATTGAGCATTTAGTTTTAATACCGCGTCTTCATAACAATCACTCTGTCTTCTTTATCTTTGTACGAAATGCAATATTTACAATAACACCGTGTGTCTGAAAGGTTGTGTAATGATACTGTATACAGTGGGGCCTTCAGAGATTACAGCCTTCAGAGGGGAGGGGAAGATCTTATAAAAAGCAACCATTCAGCAGAGTCTGACTACAGTTTTGTAAATTCTCCTGATCATAACACACAAAATGCAACTGCAGGTAAAGATACGTACTGAGAATGCTAATACTATCATGTGATGAAAGTGTTTAAACTGAATTTACCTGTCTGAAGAATTTCAGTAGAGAACATCATGGAAGACCAGATTAACATCACCTACATAAGTCTGTCTGGGTATGTAGATCTGAACAGATACAGATACTTTTACTTTTTCGTTGTACTCACTGTGTACATCTTAACAGTCTGCAGCAATGCTACTATTCTGTATCTCATCTGGATTCACAAAAACCTCCATGAGCCGATGTACATCTTCATCGCAGCTTTGCTGTTTAACGGTCTTCTTTACAGCACCAACATTTACCCAAAGCTTTTGATCGACTTCTTATCTGAAAAACCGAATGTGTCGTATTCGGCTTGTCTTTTACAGTTCTTTTTGTTTTACTCCTTTGGTTTTGCAGAGTTCCTCCTGTTAGCGGCCATGGCCTTTGACAGATATGTGGCCATATGTAAACCTCTAAGATACAAAAGAATTATGAGAAAAAGTCATGTGGACATTTTCCTGGTTCTAGCTTGGTTTCTACCTGCTTGTTATCTTGCAGTGCAGGCAACACTGAGCTATCAAGCTAAATTATGTGCATTTAACTTGGAAGGAATATTTTGCAACAACACTATTTATGCCCTTCAGTGTGTGAGATCAACAACCATCACTGTAGTGGGGATTGTAGCTTTATTACATGTTGTAGTGCTTCCTATGCTCTTCACTACCTTCACGTATGCAAACATATTTAGAATATCTTACCGCAGCTCTAAGCAGTCCAGGAAAACAACAGTAGAGACCTGCGTGCCTCACCTGCTGGTTCTGACCAGCTACTTCTGTTTGATGACGTACGATGTAATTATAGCTCGAGTTCAGTCCGATTTCCCCAGAATTGCACGATTCATAATGACGATGCAGATATCCCTGTATCACCCTTTGTTTAACCCGTTCATTTATGGTTTTAAAATGAAGGAAATTAATAAACATCTGAAGAGATTGTTCAGCTCAGTAATTCAGTGATTTTATTTTAATTTCATTTTGAGTTTCATTGCTTTCAAATCATTTTACTGCATCTCAATTTGGTATTCAAAATGTAAACAATGTAATTTACATTCGTCTAGGTTCAGGTTTAGCCGTGTTCATTGTTTCCATTGTGACGTAACCGATCATTACAAGGAATGTTTTAAATGTCCACTGGAATCAACAGGAATGCTTCCTGATTGTTGCAGCCATTAATTCACTGGACTACGTAAAATATAACCTACCTAAACAGCGTCTTGTTTAACCCAACCTCCATTTACTTTCTTTGTAATTACAGAATTTCACTGCGTTCCACTTCGGGAACACGGTTTGGTGTCTTTCCTGATGATGTGTGTGATGATGTATTACTGAAAATAAATACTCTAAGGGAAGATGTTTTTGAGAGATTAATCATGCAAATTTCTGATTATTTGACTGATTGATGGCCAGTAAAAAAAAAAAAAAAGTTAAAGTCTAGACTGGACTTTCCTTTCTTAATGGGACATTTCCTCATTGATCAGTAAAGAAAAAAACTTGTTTAAGCTACATTTGTAAATATCTTTGATTGTGGTGACGCTATTTTAGCTGCTTCTTCTGCATATATGTGTTCTTTGGATTTTATACATGCATTTGTTGTATGGTGTACTTCTAAAACTGGATGACACATGGGCATGTAACTTTGTGAAAACTTGTACTTAATAAACTGCTTTTATATTTAAATATGCTTTTAATACTTTCAAACACTTGCTGGGATTTCAAGCTGGCTCCTCTTTTCTGCTGGAAACACTCAAACCTGACTTTGTTACACAGATTCTGACCAAAACTTAGGGAAATAAAGTCTTAATCATATCCTATAACATAAAATATTTAATTTCTAAGTCTGTTCTGGGATTGTACGACTCAGAAGCTGTAAAGACAAACTGTTTATTTAGGCTTATGCTGACATCAGCATAATGCTCTTCAAAGTAAAGATCATATTCTCCTCATTTTTATCAGCAGCATTCATTTATTTTCAGGTAACTATGTTAAACTTAAAGAAAACATTTTTAAAGCCTTCATTGTGTTATGTAAGCTTTGCTATGAAGGTGTATTTGTCAAAAGTTTGAACCAGAAAGTTAGGAACAGTAAAAATAACTCTCCCAAACACACATGTTCATAAAACTCCTTGATGGTGTCATGATGGATAATTTTACCTTTGGATAATTATGCCCAGAGCAGGGTTCAGAAACCATCTTAGTGCCCTCCACCCTGCAGAGGGGAGGGCAGGAACTTATAAAACAAACATTCAACAGACTCAGATACGTATTCGGAGCTTCTGCTGGTCACTGGAAGTTCGACTGCAGATCATTACTTGTATTGTGAATTGGACGTTGATCAAACTGTATTACATTTGAACTGAATCTGTCTGAAGAATTTCAGTAGAGAACATCATGGAAGACCAGATTAACATTACCTACATAACTCTGTCTGGGTATGTAGATCTGAACAGATACAGATACTTTTACTTTTTCGTTGTACTCACTGTGTACATCTTAACAGTCTGCAGCAATGCTACTATTCTGTATCTCATCTGGATTCACAAAAACCTCCATGAGCCGATGTACATCTTCATCGCAGCTTTGCTGTTTAACGGTCTTCTTTACAGCACCAACATTTACCCAAAGCTTTTGATCGACTTCTTATCTGAAAAACCGAATGTGTCGTATTCGGCTTGTCTTTTACAGTTCTTTTTGTTTTATTCTTTTGGTTGCTCAGAGTTCCTCCTGTTAGCAGCCATGGCCTTCGACAGATATGTGGCCATATGTAAACCTCTGAGGTATAGAAATATAATGAAAAGAAGTACTGTTAACATTTTCCTGGTTCTAGCTTGGTTTCTACCTGCTTGTTATCTTGCAGTGCAGGCAACACTGAGCTATCAAGCTAAATTATGTGCATTTAACTTGGAAGGAATATTTTGCAACAACACTATTTATGCCCTTCAGTGTGTGAGATCAACAACCATCACTGTAGTGGGGATTGTAGCTTTATTACATGTTGTAGTGCTTCCTATGCTCTTCACTACCTTCACGTATGCAAACATATTTAGAATATCTTACCGCAGCTCTAAGCAGTCCAGGAAAACAACAGTAGAGACCTGCGTGCCTCACCTGCTGGTTCTGACCAGCTACGTCTGTTTGATGACGTACGATGTAGTTATAGCCCGAGTTCAGTCCGATTTCCCCAGAATTGCACGATTCATAATGACGATGCAGATATCCCTGTATCACCCTTTGTTTAACCCGTTCATTTATGGTTTTAAAATGAAGGAAATTAATAAACATCTGAGGAGATTGTTCAGCTCGGCCAAAAAAGTGCAAGCAGTAATTGGGTGATTTTTTTTTTTTTTCATAACTGCTCTCAAATCCGTTTCCTGAATCTCATTTGGTTTTCAGTGTCATTATGACTTAAATGATTCTGGATTCCATTTAAAACACATTTGATGTTTTAATTATTTAACTGCAAGCAATCAAAATTGTATTACTGCGCTTGTGTTACTGGCTTAATGATAAAATTGTGAAAAAATTATTTCATCATTACACCAGTACAAGACTGACCATGTTGGGTATCCACCTACGCCTGAAAAAACTTCTATGGTATATTTTTAAAATATCCTTGACAATGATGAAGTTATGTATATGTGCGCTGCTCGTTTCCTCCATACGTCATTGTTGAGATTCTGCTTGTCTTCCTTAGGGTTTACAGATTCAGTTGTTGTGCTTTGTAGTTTAGAATCTGAAGGAAACAACAACACAGGCTTATCATTTTTGTTTAATATTTAAGTATGCGTTTAGTACTTTCAAACACTTGCTGTGTTTTCAAGCTGGCTTCTCTTTGGTGGTGGAAACACCCAAACCTGACTTTGTTACACAGATCTCATTCTGAGCAAAATTTGGAGAAAAATAGTCTTAATCATTCCATTCTTGACAAGCTAAAAGTAATCTTTTTTATTTTCAAGACTGTACTCCTGGAATTGTGAAAATACACTGACTGTGAAACTGTTGTGATAAACTGTTTATTTAGGTTAATGCTCACATAATAATGTAATTAAATATCTTACTCTGCTCATTTAGAACCAGCATTCAGTCATGATCAGCTAACTTAATGTTAAACCTCTTTCAAGAGAACATGGCCGCCTGGTGTTGTTGTCAGTCGACTTGGAGAACCAGGTTTCTGTGAAGCAGCTCAAAACAGTTCTGAGTTTGTCTGTGTAAGGATCCAAGCATGACATATTAGACTTTCCGTTGACTGAAGGTTTACAAACAGTATGACCAGGATACCTGCATACAGACTGTCAAGGATGCAGCACCATTGTCAAGGATGCAGTCAGACTGCATGCAGTCAGACTGCATGCATGCAGTCTGACTGCATGCAGGTACAACAATCACTGTGGTGATTCATCCTATATCCCTAACTCTAACGCTAACTCTAACCCTACAGTTGGGGATTTAGGATGAAAACCAGAAGGATAACTTGCTCATTTGCTTGGAACAATTTGACTTTTGTATGTGAGAGTCATAGTATTTTGTTTGTTTTGGCGATTACGCCGAGTTTGCCGCATGGCCACGCCTCCTAAACACGCTCAAAGCCTCAAGGTTTTGATAACTTTTAATCCCCCATTCATTGACTGCGTTCTGAAGGAAGATGAAGCCGATAGCTCAAAATCCAAAGGAGGAGTTTGTTCAAGTTTCAGGTGTGTACATGTGAAAAATGGGCCAAAATTGACCTTCGACCCAAAATGGCTAGCTCAATGTATATGTTACAACATACCTCCAAGAAACTTTTTATTTTGCTCTACATGGCCACGCCCACTGTCAATTCCATTAAATTATTTTCACATTGGGGACATTTTTGTGCAAAGTTTGTTGAGTTTTTGAACAGGTTTAGGCCAGAAAAGAACAATTAATCCTAATATTACAATAGTGGATTTGTATGGACACATGAAATTAAATGTATTGAACCATTTTTGAGTATTGACAAACGGTTACCTTCTTCAAATCTAAGTGGCTGAAACATGACTGGGAAGAAACAACAAGGACAAAGTTTCTCATAAATTTTTCATAAGTTCCAGGTTGATGCATTTTATGTTGTCCAACTAATATTGAAAGTTTATTTTTATCTACTTTTAGGCATACAGGATGAAATATGTGATTTGAGGTGACTACTAGGATTCCATTTTATCTGTTATTTTTGTAACCAATATGTTTTACATTGTTTTATCTTTTGAGAGATGCACATCAATGTACAGTACACTTATGGCCACAATTATTTTTATTTTTAGCACTATTTATAAAGTACAATAATGATTTTATTATAATTGTGAAATACTGTGGTTAATTTCTTATGTACATTGAAAATTTACAATTTAGCCACTGTCAATGCTTTATAACACCGAGTTTGTCTTTGTATGAAATGCAGTCTTTACTGCAACACTGCATTAGTTTGTCATGCTACGGGTCTTCAGAGGTTTACACCCTCTGAAGGGGAGAGGGAGGGTCTCATATAAGAAGCTGTCAGCAGATTCAGACCTCTGCTGGTCATAATACACCAACTTTGATAGCAGGTAATGACGTGTGTCATGATTGAACTGAATTTGTCTGTTTGAAGAATTTTAAATTTATGCATGTATATATTTGTCTATATTATGGATGACAAGATTAACATTACCTACATAACTCTGTCTGGGTATGTAGATCTGAACAGATACAGATACTTTTACTTTTTCGTTGTACTCACTGTGTACATCTTAACAGTCTGCAGCAATGCTACTATTCTGTATCTCATCTGGATTCACAAAAACCTCCATGAGCCGATGTACATCTTCATCGCAGCTTTGCTGTTTAACGGTCTTCTTTACAGCACCAACATTTACCCAAAGCTTTTGATCGACTTCTTATCTGAAAAACCCATCATATCGTATTCAGCTTGTCTTTTTCAATTCTTCATGTTTTATTCTTTCGGCGGCTCAGAGTTCCTCCTGCTAGCAGCCATGGCCTTCGACAGATATGTGGCCATATGTAAACCTCTGAGGTATAGAAATATAATGAAAAGAAGTACTGTCAGTGCTTTCCTGATCATAGCTTGGTTTGTGGCTGTTTTTTTTCCTATAGTGCTAGCAGTGCTGAGCTATCAAGCTAAATTATGTACATTTAACTTGGAAGGAATATTTTGTAACAACACTATTTATGCCCTTCAGTGTGTGAGATCAACAGCACTCACTGTGTTTGGGATTGTTGCTTTTTCAAATGTTGTAGTGCTTCCTATGCTCTTCACTACCTTCACGTATGCAAACATATTTAGAATATCTTACCGCAGCTCTAAGCAGTCCAGGAAAACAACAGTAGAGACCTGCGTGCCTCACCTGCTGGTTCTGACCAGCTACTTCTGTTTGATGACGTACGATGTAGTTATAGCCCGAGTTCAGTCCGATTTCCCCAGAATTGCACGATTCATAATGACGATGCAGATATCCCTGTATCACCCTTTGTTTAACCCGTTCATTTATGGTTTTAAAATGAAGGAAATTAATAAACATTTAAAGAAGCTCTTCTTCAGTGCCACCAAAAAAACAAGTCAGCAGTAATTTAGCAACATGTTTGCCTTCTAGTCATTTTACTGTATCTCAGTTCGGTGTTGAAAATGTAATTATCATAATTTGGATGTTCGTAGATTCATTTGAGCTGTGTTTACTGTCTCAGTGACTAAATCATCAAAAGTTTTGTTGAGTAGTCTAATTGTTTCTGTGATTAAAATAGTTTTCAACACAGCAGCTAACAGAGTAAATGTTTGGGTTTTCTGTCAGACTGTCAGTTATGCAAACAGCATCAAAAATGCTACATGTCAGATCGGTTCTGAAAATAACACCAGCAGATTCACATTCTGAACATTAAAAAAAATCTAAATAGCCAAAGGAAAAGACTTGTTAGGTAAACTATGTTCATATTTCATAATTGTTGGATTTTTCCAAAAAGGGTTTTTATTTCCGTAGCTGAATTCACTAATGAAACACATTACATAGTTTAATTACACACAAAAAATTATCAAAAGTGTTTATTACCAGCTTAAAGGTTGTTGTTTTTTTTTTTTTCCAAAAAGTGCTTTTAATCTGAGAAATGAATTTCATTGGGAAGCATGTTGTAATTTTGACTGACAGTACAACAGTACGCTACATAACAAACCATGAAAAGTTAGAAAAATAAACATTAGAGGAAGCAAAACTTTTGTTCAATATGTTTAAAGACTTATTTCACCAGAGTGTAAAATAAACGCTTGTATAATGTTGATTGATGTTTTATTTTGTGAATGTAGATGGTATTTATGGTTACATTTGTTATTTGTAACATTGGGCCTTCAGGGCCAAAGCTCTTTGAAAAAGAACTGACTTTTTCTAGTTAAACCTTGAATCAATGGAAACAAATACTACGTTTCCTGTTGTGATGTGTTGAAGCTGGTGTATTTGAATATGATTTCCACTCAGCCTCGTTCTCACCTAAGACTAAAACCAACATGTTTCTGATGAAAAAACACATCGGTGCTAAGCCAGGCCTAGTCAAATCTGCTCTGTGGGACACAATGTGTTTGGGTTTTATTTTTGCTGTATACGGTCTCATCTGCACAGCACTAAAGTAAAAGTTGAAAGTAGCCAAAGACCAATTTACATGACTGACATCTTTCCAAATCAGTTTCTTTCAATATAAAACTAATGAAACTTCAACCAGAAACTCCAGTTTGTCTAGTGAAATTGGTTAAAACACGTTTGTTCTTTGTTCAGTGAAGTTACACACGGTGGGTAGAAATCTTACTGAAGTTAGAGTAGCGATACGTCGTAATAAAATTACTCAGCAATCAGAATCGGCCTGTACTGTCGTCATACGGAAGCGCAACTAAATTTGTTTTGTCAAGAAAGACAAAGAAAAGACAAACAGCACAACACCTGATGGGAGCCTGAGGCGCTGCCAGTTCATTACAGACATCAGGGTGGATTGAGGACGTAAACGTAAAAAGGACAATAAAAGACTACAAACACTCCTCAAAGTACATTACACATAATATTTTCCCTTTAAGGTGCTCTGATGTGTCTAAATAAAAGCCAACAAATTATGAGGATTATTTAGAAAACGATACGGTTAAAGCAGAACTCTGAAGCCACCGGCTGTCAGGCCTCCAGGCCCCAACATGTTGTCATGTGATCTGTAAACACTTTAATGAGATCCACAGAGGGGGACGCAGTCGGATAAAAACCTCTTCACTCGCCCGACTCGTTCCTTCAGGTGAGACCACTCAAGTTCACGTCCGTATTCATGTCAGTTGTTTCGACAAATTGCTGTTTTTTACTTTAAATGAATTTGTTATGGACGCGGTGGCTGGTGAGCTAAACGCTACGTACATAACCTTCGGTGGGCATGTAGAGCTGCACAGGTACAGATTTCTGTACTTCTCCGTCATGCTCGTCGTGTACGTCCTGATAATCTGCAGCAACTCCGCCATCTTGAGCCTCATCTGGGCCCAGAAGAGCCTCCACGAGCCCATGTACGTCTTCATCGCGGCCCTGCTCTTCAACTCGCTCCTCTTCAGCGCCACCATCTACCCGAAACTCCTGGTGGACTTTCTGTCCGACGAGCAGACCACGTCTCTGTCCCTGTGCAACCTGCAGAGCTTCACCTACTACTCCCTGTGCGGCGCCGAGTTCCTGCTGCTGTCGGCCATGGCGTACGACAGGTACGTGTCCATATGCAGGCCCCTGCAGTACCAGGCCACCATGAGGAAGCCCACCGTGGTCGTCCTGCTGGCTCTGGCGTGGCTTCTGCCCGCCTGTCAGCTGGTGCCGTCGCTCTTCATCAGCAGGAGCTACAAGCTGTGCCACTCGACTTTGAACGGGATTTTCTGCAACAACGCCATCTCCCAGCTTTTCTGCATGGACTCCAGAGCGTCGTACATCACGTACGGCGCGTTCATCGCGCTGAACACAGTAATACTGCCCATGCTTTTCATCCTGTTCACTTACACAAAAATACTGATCATTTCCTTAAGAGGCTCTGGAAGCATGAGGAGGAAGGCGGCGAAGACGTGCTCCCCTCACCTGCTGGTCCTGATCAGCTTCTCCTGCCTGTGTTCGTACGACATCGTCGTGGCCCGGCTGCAGGTCGACCTGGACAGGACGGCGCGGTTCATCATGACTTTACAGGTGGTGTTGTATCATCCGCTCTTCAACCCCATCATCTACGGCTTGAAGATGGAAAAAATCCACAGACACCTCAGAATGGTTTTCTGTCACGACAAACGCAAAGTGAGCGTCTGAGGAAACGTTTTCCTCTGTGTGTGAAAGGCAACATGTTGGACTTTAACAATGCATTACAGTTCTGATGTTTAACATTTAGTGATTTTTCTTTAAGTTTACCTTTAGTGTAATTACTACCTTGATTGTTGTTGTTATTATATTGGAGAATACAGTAGAAAAATATAAAATAAAACCAAGTCCCCATCTTTGACAGGTACAAACATTATGTACCTGTATAATAATGTTTGTACCTGTACTGATTACAATAGCTGCCAAAGATGGGGACTTATTTTTATTTTATTTTTATTTATTTATTTATCTTCAGTTTCAGTAATTTCTGACTTATGATTTGGTGAAGAAAATATCTTACTAAAAAGAAAAGTGTGTATTTCAAATCCACTTGTGTGTTTTGAATTCATGTTCAATGTTTTCAATAAAGTCAGTCGGTGATGAAGAGGTGTCATCATTTCAGCTGAAGCGTACAGAACATGCAGATCAAGTCACAAATATGAAATGCATAAGAATAATAATCAGATAATATTAATAATCAAGACTGTCCAAAACTCTGTTATCTCCCATGAAATCACAGTATTTGCTTAGGAAATTAGAATGTGAGGATTATTTGTCTGATTAAAACCTTTTGAAACTTTACAACCTTCAATCAGATAGTAAACATTATTTTTCCTTAAAGCCCACGTCTGTATTAATATTGTCTTCCTTTTTTCCATTAGTCTGATGTTAAGTTTAAATGTCATGTTTTCATGAAAGTTGCACTAAGCAAGTTTATTATTTATTTTTTACATATTTGTTGACACTATGAGAAATATAAATTGTGACAGAAATCGAGCTCCTCTGCCTTCCCCCAGTGCTAACTAGAACCAACCAATCACTTATTTTATTTACATTTTCACTGTTTGTGTGAAAATGTAATGTTAAAAATGTTAGTTCAGTTATTTAAAAAGAAAAAAATCTCATAGGAGGTGAACTGTATGCATTTCTTCATCTGAACACAGTACTTCTGTTGGGCTTGTGCTTCTTCCTAAGGGTCATGACACGACACTCTGGGACTAAAATAATCAAAATATGTTTTCGCTAACTAAGGATTAATCTCCATGGCAACCATTCAGAAAAGGCCTGGGGGTGCTGAAGGTGCGTCTCCTCGTCTTTTCTAGTTGCAGTTTGCAAGCCACTGAGCTTCCGGCTCACAGAGCAGCCTTCCCCCATTCAGCTCCTTCAGACTAGCCGACAGCAATTAGCAAACATCTGGTGGAACTGGGCATCTGCTGAGTTCTTTATAGGAGCTAATTCTCAGAGCAATGCTGATAAAAATGCTGTTAAAGGGTTAACAGAGGAGCCGTGTTGTGATGACTTCCTGTAGAGGAGTTTCTGAAAGAACAGGAGCTTTTTAAAGAGACAGAGGCCCAATTTCAATGTGTTAAATTATGAAATAAGTTTTCTTTTAAACACATTTGATATATAGATCATTTTTATAACACCAGAAGTTAACATAGTTCCTATAAATGACTCTATATGGCTGGAAAACACATAATACTTTTAATTCAGTTTCTGACATACAAGAAGCAAATAGTGATGAAATTTTCACGCCCAAGTTCTTAGGCCTTAATGAACCCGAGTTCCTGTCAGATGTAAACACGTTAATGAGGTCCATGGAGAGAGAAGCAGCTGGATAAAAACTTTGACTGGACCCGGACGCCTCACTGTGAGGTGAGCACACCCGAACCGGCGCGTCATAATATCCATTAACTTGAACTGCATTTCTGTGAGGCAACACCTTTTGGATTCCTGTCGTTGCCTTGTTGAACTTTTATAATGGATCAAATGAATGACAAACCAAACGTAACATATATAACTTTTGGCGGCCATGTTGAATTGCAGAAATACCGCTTCCTGTACTTTGCGATGACGTTCAGCGTCTACGTCCTCATACTCTGCAGCAACTCAACCATCCTGTGTCTCATCTGGGTCCGACGGAGCCTCCACCAGCCCATGTACGTCTTCATCGCCGCTCTGCTCTGCAACTCGCTCCTTCTCAGCACCAACGTCTACCCGAAGCTTCTCATCGACCTCTTATCCGACGTGCAGATTACGTCTCATTTGGCGTGCAGGATTCAGGCTTTGATCTATTACTCTCTGTGCGGTTCTGAGTTCCTCCTCTTGGCAGCCATGGCGTACGACCGCTACGTCTCCATCTGTAAACCGCTGCAGTATCAAGCCGTCATGAGGAAAAGGACGGTGACCGCTCTGCTGGTTCTGGCGTGGCTCCTGCCATCCTGTCAGCTCGTGCCGTCACTTATTCTAGGCGACGGTTTCAGACTCTGTAAGTTCACGCTGAATGGGATTTTTTGCAACAACGCCGTCACCAAGCTTTCCTGCATGACTTCAGCAGGGCCCTATATTATATATGGCGTGTTCATTTTAGTTAATACCATATTCGTCCCCTTGGCTTTCATCCTTTTCACCTACTGTAAAATACTTGTCATATCCTACAGAAGGGGCTCGGACGTCAGGAAAAGGGCCATGCAGACCTGCGCGCCGCACCTGCTGGTTCTCGTCAGTTTCTCGTGTTTGTGTTCGTACGACGTCATCATAGCCCGACTGGATATCGATTTGCCCAAAGCGGCGCGATCGATCATGACTCTGCAGGTGGTTCTGTATCAGCCTCTGTTTAACCCAATAATCTACGGGCTGAAGATGAAGGAAATCCACAAACACCTCAAGAGGCTTTTCAGCCGAAGCAGGATCTGTGTTTGTGTTGCACTGATCAATAACTGATAGTTCAGTTCAGGTTATGGTATGAATAAATATCATTAATGCCTTAAAAAAAGATGACAGACTCACTAGTGTAATGACAAAGTTATTATTTAACTGGTTCTTATATTTTGTTAGTGTATTAAGGTTTGTAAGAGTCAAAATAAAACTAGGTCTTGTCATATTCTTTTATTGTAAATCATTAATATCATTATCTTTTATTGTATTATAGTAAGAATTATTTCTATTTGAGTCATAATATTCATTTAAATTCCTATTGTTTTTGTTCCACAGTGTACTATGCTACATAGTTAAGACAATGTGACATTTCATAGCTTCTTATGTTTCTCTCTTACCTGAAAACATTTTTTAATGGTGACGTTTATTGTTTGTCTATGTTTTGTAAAGTTTCCTCTTTTTTTAAGACTTTATGAAAAAATATCTCTGCGGGTCTTTGTTCATTCATGAAAACCAAATAGCCTGTTTAAAGTTGCTTCTGAGCCACAATAAATGGAACGTTGACCAACATATTTGATGCGTGTTGATGATTTTTGAAGACGGCTCTCGTCAAAATGTAACACCTGGTGGCTGTATGTTGTTTTTCTGACCGTTTATTTTTGTGTTTTTATGCTGCCTTGCTGCTGAAATGTGCCATAGAAATAAACCTGATTGATTTTTGGATTGATTGATTAACATGCACGTGCTGTCACCTCTGATTAAATTAGTGTTAACAGATGTTATTAACTGGAGTCAAACACATTTATTCATAGTAGATTATTAGTTAAAGAAATTTTAGTAAAATGGAGATCTTAAATTATATTCAATCCACCACAAAGTGCAATGATGTGGCAACATCAATGTTACTAACATCGCCGCTCAGTGGTCATAATGTTATGCCTGAACATTCCAATTGCAACAGTTAATGTACTGCTACTTCTTTCACTGTATAATGTACTTTTTTCAGAAACACGTAGATCTTCCCAATTAATCAATAAAAACATGTTACTTGCGATGATATTTGTTAGTTTTCACTTGAAAGATTCATGACTTCATCAACATTTCAGCGCTGTTTGTGATGAAGTCATCATTTTGATTTCTAAACATAAGTAAACGAAGGTGATGCAAAACGTTATTTAATATCTTGTCCCATATCAAGGAAATTGATAGCAAAAAAAAATCACTATAATTTCATAATAAGCTGATCATTTACAATACATTACTTTCAATTCAGACACATAAATATTACAAAGTGGATTCTATGTGAAAAGGAAAAAGTGGAAATCATTGCAATTCTCTAGAGTCTTGAATAACCAATTACTTTGGATATTGTTGGGCATTAAAGGGGCAGTGTTATGTAAAAATGACTTTTTTGAGCTTTTCACTATATTATAATGTTATTACCTCATCAAAAACATACCTTTCAGGCATGTTTTAGAAATCCTTTAATCTCCATGGCAACCGTTCAACTGTCCAAAACGCCTGGGTGGACTTAGCGCCGCCTCTGAGGAACAAGCTCCTCCTCTGAGCTGCAGATTCCAAGCTTCTGCCTTGCAGAGCAGCTCTCCCCTGCCACTCCTCCACTCAGCTCCTTCAGACTAGCCAGCAGCAATTAGCAAACACCTGCCAGAACTGCGCAGCTGCTGAGCTACGTCTGAGCTACGTAGCTAAGGGTTAACAGAGGAGCCATGTTATGATGACTTCCTCAAAGCAAAGTGCTGGAAAGAGCAGGAGTTTCTTAAAGAGATAAATGCCCAATTTTAAGACATTAAATAACAAAGTCAAATTTTTTTAATATGTCACATTTGACATATGTGGCATTTTTATGACAACTAAATGTAACATAGTTTCTTGGTAATGCTATAAGATGAAACTATGTGCCTGCAAAACATATAACACTGCCCATTTATTACTTGTTGTTGGAGACCCCTACAGGGCCAATGTGGAACTGCGCTAGCTGCTCCTTATGCTCACAGCTGAGACAGCCAGTGTGGATGATGATGATGATGATGATGATGGAAGCACTAATAAAAACAGTTCATCTCCTACAGACCTCTCAGTCAGACTGACTCCAGCCTTGTACTCATCCTGTAACTGTTTTTCTTTCTCTTGTATAATAACACTGAGAATGGAAGCAAAGACTAATATGACGTATATAATTCTGGGAGGCTTTATAGAAGTGCAAAGGTACAGATACCTTTATTTTATGATCATGTTGACTGCATATCTTGTAATAATTAGCTTTAACATCTCCATCGTTTGCCTCATTATTGTTCACAAAAGCCTCCACGAGCCCATGTATGTTTTTATTGCCGCTCTGTTAATCAACTCCATTCTTTTCAGCACCAACATTTACCCCAAGCTTTTCATCGACTTCTTATCAGAACGGCAGGTCATACCTTACCAGGCTTGCCTCTTTCAAGTTTTTGCGTTTTATTCTCTGAGCGCTTCTGAGTTCCTGCTGCTGGCAGCCATGGCTTATGACAGATATGTGTCCATATGCAAGCCTCTGCGATATCCGTCCATCATGACTAAGACCACTGTGAGTGCTTTGCTGGTTTTGGCTTGGTTTGTGCCTGCTTGCCACGTGTCAGTCTCCGTTATCCTGAGTTCCAACAAAAGGCTCTGCAGTTACACTATAAATGGGATTTTCTGCAACAATGCCGGCCACGGTCTCTACTGTGTCAACTCACCGGCGCTGTCTGTTTTTGGTGTAGTTGTGCTGTTTAACGTTGGTTTTCTTCCCATGCTTTTCATACTCTTCACATACGCGAGGATAATGGTGGTAGCCTATCAGAGCGGTAGGGAGGTCAGAAGGAAAGCTGCGCAGACCTGTCTGCCTCACCTGCTGGTTTTAATAAACTACTCCATCCTGATAACGTACGACGTCGTCATAGTCAAACTGGAGACGGATGTGCCGAAGATGGCGCGACTTGTAATGACACTTCAGATATTTATGTACAATCCTCTCTGCAACCCGCTCATATACGGGATAAAAATGAAAGAGATTTCCAAACATCTCAAGAGGTTGTTCTGTCAAACCAAATGGAAATAAAAGAATAAAAGAGGAGGAATTTAATGTTTGAATGCCTTAATGTGATTAAAACTAAATGCAGCTGTAAAAGCAAAAAATAATGATACCTTTGCAAACATTTTTAAATGTTTAAGTTTAATGCTCTTGTTTTTTGTTGGGGGGTTTTTTAGTTCACCTTCATGGCAGCTTCATACTGTATGTAATCCTCTATCAGCAGTAAGACATTCAACAGTAACTTTCACATGAAGCCTGTCTGGATAAAAAGAAAGTTTTGTTTTGATAAACTGCAAAAACACAAAATCTTACCAAGTAGTTTTGGTCTAGTTTCTAGTGCAAATATCTTCATACATTTGAAATGAGATCAAATTATAGATAACTTTTCCTCAAGGTAAAACAGCTTGTTTTAAGTAAATAATTCCTTAATGTTGATGAAAAAGTTCTAGTTCAATTTGCAGATTATTTCATTTAAAACATGGGAAAAATATGTTGTTACAAGTGGAAGTAGTAATTTTCTATCAATATTAAGGAATTATTGACTTAAATCAAGCTCCTTTACCTTGTAGAAAGGTTACTTGTAAGTTAGTTTAGTCTTGTTTCAAGTGCACTAAGATTTGCACTGGAAACTGGACCAAAACAACGTGGTTAGATTTTGTGTTTTTGCAGAGTAAATGTACCATGACTCTGTGCTCTATGTTCGTCACAGGCTGCATTCAGCAGACTCATCATGTGCAGGCTGTCGTTCTGCAGTTTGCTCACTCTGTCATGTGACGCTTTGTGCTTACTGAAGTGTGGTTGTACTGATGAAGCAGGAAAAATGAAATAAAATTTGAATAACAACCTTCTTTAATTCTCGTTCATAGTTGTAAGTAGAGAGAGTGTTTGTAAAAACATTACTTTGAAGCAGGTGTCTTCTAATAGTGATCATAGATCATAGTGTCTTCTAACCAGCAGTCAACAGCAGAACACATTATTTAAACACGTTCCATTTATTTAAACCTGAAGCAAACAGAGGAGACTCTTGCAAAAAAACTGGCATCCTGTGAAAGCAACTCATACAGCTCTCTTACATAAACAAAGTCTATCATGCAAAATAAAACACACACACTCAAATTGTGTGTAATGTGTAAGCTATTATCAGCACAACAATTTTCTTCCATTTGTCTGGAGTCGGGTCATGAGGAACTCGTCCCCTACTTGAAGGCACGTGCAGACGGGGGTCTGGGAGTGCTCGAGCACCTGCCCCTTTTGCTCCTTGCCCCCAAGTGCCCTTTAGGTAAATTTTTTTTTTTTTTTGTATTATTTCCTAAGCCCTCTTCTGACACATAATAATATGTACTAAAATTTATTTATTTATTTTTGTACATCATAAGCCTTCCGGTCACCTTGTTACCTTTGACCTTTTGCCCGTGACGCATGACGCAGTTGCCTCTCGCGCAGTGAGATAAGGCGGATAACTGGAGCTCAGCATAGCGAACGTTCCAGATTACAGATCAGTTTTTGGTGGATTAAAATGTTTTTGGTGAATAAAGTGGAGTAGACTTGCTAAAAAGCTTCTTCCTTGTATCGCTAATGATATCAGTCATTCTTCAGTATCGCTTATGCAATAGAGGCACATCGCCCGTCCAAAACCGATCATCTCCATAAAGGACATATGTCTGCTAATTTCCTTTGCTGCATAATGTACACTGCATTTATT